TATCTCCAAGAAGGTATCTCATGTTCTTAGACTTTATTATTTTTTTCTATATGGATTTCTTTCTCCCTCAAACAGGTTTAATGGCTTAAGCTCATGAATCCAGTTAAAATAGAATTCTCAGTTTCTCAGGGTTCCATGTGCGAGAACTCACCGAGATGCTGTGGGGGAAAGACTCCAGTTACAAATGACAATTCGTTCTGTCATTTCCAGATTGCCCTGTTTGATTCCCATGGAATTACTGAGCAAATGCAGTCCTTGACATACTTCTTTTTTCTTTTTTCTTCTTTCTCTTTCTCTGTAGCTTACTGTCATTTTTAAGTACAAATAGTGCAGGAAAAAGCTGAAGAACTGGGTGCTGTTCTCTCAGAACTTGCATTCTTGCCTCATTCTTTTCCATTTAAGGGTGAGATCAGGGGCCATTATACAATGTCTGTTAGGCAATCTGCATCGTAAATTGATCGTTCAGACTACATGGATCTGTTCCCCAGAGGATGTTGATTTAATTCTGATTTCATCTATGGATTAAAAAAAAGAAGTAATTTAGATGAAAGATATTGGTTTTCTGGAAAAACAGGCTTGGTTAACTGCTTTTGTTGTAAATTAGTTCTGTTAGCACAAACTCCCTAAGGATATAGATTCCATAGATCCTTAGTTATTTTTCAGAACATCATGAAAAAATAATAGCGGTGGTAAAAATAATGATTTTTGTTTATTCCTTACCAGGAACCGTGTGTGTGTAATGCTTTACATGCATTTACCTCATTTAATCTTTACAAGTCTCTTCATCCATTAGTCTACCTAGCAAACATTTATTAGGCACCTATAAAGTGCTAAGTACATTTCTAGGCTCTGGAAATATAGCAATAAACAGGGCAAAGACCCTGCCCTCGTAACGCTTGCTCTCTAGTGGGAGACATGCCAGTAGACCAACATGTGCAGTGCAATTTAGCAGCACGCACACATACACATCTTCACTCAGTTATCATAGTGTTGGTGCTATGAGGCAATAAGGCAAAAGCAGAATGAGAGCGTGATGGAGATGAAAGAGGGCTGCTCGAGATACGGGGGTCAGCAAAGCGCCCATTGGGAGGGAGGCCAGAAGGAAGTGAGAGAGAAAAATGCCATGGGACTGTCTGGGAGGAGAGTGTTCCAGTCGGAGGGAAGAAGTGAAAAAACCCAGGAGGGGATGAATCTGGCAGAAAGAAAGCAAGGATGCTCGGGGCTGAGTGAGCTGCAAGGAGAGAAGTAGAGAAGGGTGTTGGAGACGGAGGCAGGAGCCAGCCCAGTAGAGCTTCCTAAGTAGTGATAAAGCCTTGGATTTTCCTAGGAGTGCATTGGAATGTCATCGATAGGTTTCATGCAGGAAAGTCATTAGATATACTTTACTTCCCCAAAGATCAATCCAGATGCTGTGTGGCGGGGGACTGTCAAAGACCAAAATGGGGAGCTGGGAGATGTGTCAGGAGGTACCCTCTGTGTTCAGACCTATTGCCTCCCAACTTTTTGGTTGTGCACCCTTATTCATAAAAAGTTTTAGACCCTGTACCCCCACCATATGTAATATAAATGGTACCACGTGCTAATATATATGAGACATGATACCATGCACTAATATATTGTGTGTATTATGAGAGAAATAAATACTTTAGAATAAAATTTTTAAAAACCTTTCAAAATATTTTATTACCTTATCAATGTTGTAAAAACATTTTACCTTCACAAAAATATTATTTCAATATTTCTACTATTATTTTAACTTTAAATTTTATTAGTATTTAAAATTTTTAACAAAGTAATATGGCAAAATATGCTCAATAATTTAGTAAAAGATTTCTTTAGTACATAACTTCAAGCATGATTTTACACTTGTGTTGGTTTAAAAATGTTTACTAATCATCATAGCTCAACTGCCACCAGCTAATATATCAAAGCAAGTGCGTGGTTATTAATAAATAATTAATAGCAGATTTACCACCACAAATATTCTTGAAAATTTTTAATTCTTTGACCGGTCTGTCATACCTAGTTGAATCATCATTATTTTTACCTCAGAATGTGACTGACAGAAAGGTTGTTATAAGCAAGATAATTATCAACGGTTAATTTTCCTTAAGGTTAATTTGTGCTTTCATTATTAAATTATTTTAAATCTTCGTTCTGCAGGAATTTTCCAAGAATATTTGTCAATATTCAGTAAAAGCTGTGTTTCAGAATTAGTTAATTCTCTCACCTGATTCACAAAAATATGCCGTGTGGAAAAGCCCTAAAAGCAAACAGCCCTGTGAGGTGAGCCTTGGATGGCTGACCATACCTCCAGGACACTCCACTCCCATCAGGAGACATGTGGCCCTTATGCGCATGGACCTTGGGAGGGCACTCACTGTCAATCCATTATCCTCTAGCAAATCTTAATAATTTCTTTTTTTTCCCCTACATAAAGTTAAATATAAATAGAAGTTCTTGTGATTCTTAAGTACTTCTCTCAATGGCTGCTCTCGTGTATGCTCTGGGAGCACAAACTCCACCTTGGCCGCCATTAATCTATGTGAGAAATCATGGTGGCTTGGATTACGTTGATTGTAACTGAGGTGATGCCAAGTGTTACTTTTAGTGGTGAACAGTATTGGAGACAACAAGAACCGTGAAATGCACTTAGCATTATTGGATTGTCGTAGAACCTAGGGCTTTTCACCGTTCAAAGCTAAAAATATTAATTTTCAAAACTAAGATATCCTGAGTTAATAATGATATTTGAAGTTCATATTTAATATTTCAGTGTTACTTAACTTTTTTGGAAATCGCACTTCTTTTCTCTGACATTGGAAAACTTTGGTTCCTAAAAAAGACCAACCTAATTACTTATTTGCATTATTCTTGCCCCTCCCCCACCAATACTACTACTGACAGACGGCTGAGTAAAGTTATATATTTCTTTGCAGCTCTGCGTTTGCAATATATTCCACGAAGGATGTACACTCAAAATACTGTGTTTCAAAATCATTTGAAATATTTTTGACCCCTCCATCTTGTTGCCTTCTTACTCCTAGAAGTAATAATTTTTATTCTTGTTTAATTTACGATTCCACTTTTCTTTTTGCAAATAAAAACAAATATGCATTATAAATGCATACGTATGCATACATATGATTTCACCTGACCTTTCTCATGAGGGTAGCAGACTAGTTATACTCTTGTGTACCACATTTCGCTTACATCTTGTGAGACCACTTTCTACCAGTTTATAGAGATTTTTCTTGTTCCCTTTTTCAATTGTACAGTATTCCCTCATGTGGACATGCCATTCAGCCAATCCCTTTCTGATGGACCTTTGAGTTGTTTCTGGCCCTTTACTGTTACAAATAATGCTATACTGATTAATGTTGTGCGCATGTCATTTCATGTATTGCCAGTGTATCTCTAGAATGGATTTGCGTAAGAGGAATTGCTTGGTTGAAGGGTAAATGCATATGTAATTTTTCGTGACATTGGGGATTCTAGGACTAGTAGAATTTTCACATACCACTTCATTTGTTAGAATGAAGTAGAGTTGTATCATTTCTATGCACCTTTTATTTTCAGAAAAAATCGTTTTTGATTGACAATTAAGTACATTGTTCAATTTGGCATGTAGAAACTCACAGAACAAATCCCTGACTGCATTCAAGTTTAGTAAAACTCATGTGTCCCTTGATAAGCTGGCATGTTCCCTTCAATTAATAGGCTATGAATGAAGGCAACCTGCTGGGACCTCACTCCTCTTTCATAACAGAAGAGAATTGGGGCCAGAGAGACTCAACTAGGATTGGTGCTGCCTCTCCAGTTTGCAAAGACAGGCCCAGTCACTCCTGCAGTGTTGGCTCAACTGGGTAAGCTCAGCTCAGGAAGGAGTCAGTGCCCTTGGCACCACAATGCCAAGGTTACTGTTTCAGAAGGAGCTGGGTCAGCGTGACTGACAGCCAGAACAAGCTTTCCCCACCCTAGTCTGCTGTTTCTGGGAAAGCAGATAATGGCCTTGTCAGGTGTGCTTGCTTCTCATGAGGTTGTCGGCCACAACTCTCACTGGCAGGGAAGACTGAATGGGATCAGGGACCTACCATTCTCTCCCCGCCACCACCCCATTTCTTCATTGTCAGAGCTGTGCAGGACTAGGAAGACAAGACTTCATTACCATCAGGCCTAGTCTGAGGGGCTAGAATCTGCAAAACACACACACACACACACACACACATACAAACACATACATGGAGATCAATGAATGCAGCCCTTTTTCTTGTGGAGATGGATGGAACTTTCTAAGCATGTGGGTGGGAAACTGGAGACCTGACAGAGGAGAAAGTGAAGCAAAAAGGAAGGACCCGCAAGAGAAAGAGAAGCTGACAGAGAGCTACAGGGCTCTGGAGGGAGACCCTCTGAAAAGGCTTAGGTTAGTGCAGCTTTGTCATCTTGCGTGGTATATCGTAAGGAGAAATATAAAGAAAGTCCTAGATTCAGGTCCTTCTCAATGAACTGGCCTGTGAGATCTACCATTTCACTGGAGAGGAAGGCGTGGTCCTTCTGCAGGCAGAACCACACTGGGAACCAGCAGTCATGGGCCAACTGGCGGCTGGAGACATCCAGCGTCTCTTCAGGCCCCCTGTGTGGGGAGGCATAAAAATCTTTATTTCAACTGCTGTAATTTTCTCAGCCGGAACTTCTTGATATGCTGTTCTTTTCCTCTTCCTCCATGGAAATATCTTTCTATTTTGATACTGCAAAATATTTTTTGGAATTAAGTAGAAAAAGAAGGAAAGAAGGAGGCAGGGAAGGAAATAAAGGCAAAAGAAAATAGAAGATTTAGTGGATTCAGTGATACATTAAAGATATAATCACTGTTGCTTTAGAAAAGTAGTTTATTTCCTATCAAAATCATCATGCCGTCTAGTTCCGAATCGATTTCGAAACTCTAGAAGTTTCGAACTCTAGAAGTGCAAGAACACAGAGATACTTTAAAAACAAGACAATTAATTGTAACCTTTTATTGAAAAAAATAATATAGCAGAGCTCAAAAAGCTACATTTGTTATGCTTTATAAGGACAGAGGTTTACACAGGTTTTCCGTATGTACACATTCATGACATTTTATCACAACATCATCAGCACCTTTGACTACCACAGTGTTAGGTAACGAATAAAACCCACCCAAATTAATCTTTAAAAAAAAATCTAAAACAATACAGTATATTTTAGGATTATGTACATGTTTGAAACATTTAGATATTTTAAAAACACATTGTTTTTCTATGAGCATCACGATTATCTCTCAGTCTCAAAAATATTATGGTACCAAAAATCTGTCAAATCATAAAAGAGAAGATGCTGTAATTTATAACCAAGCACCAGTTCAAGTCAGCATTTGATTCTCTATCAACCTAAGAGGCTTCTAACACATGCAAAGTGAAGTGAGTATTTAGAAGAGCCATTGAAATAATTTAGAGCCTCAAATCTTTTTTTTTTTTGCTTTAATTAGCTGATTATTTTAGAGAAAATGGGAGTAACTGGATGATTTAGGTCGTTTTTCTGTTTGATGGAATCTAGGGCTCACAGAAGAAACGTTCCAGGCACTGGGGAAGTTTTGGGGATAAGCAGGTCCATTTCGTGTCTATTACGTGTTGGAGTTTTACACATTAGTGAGACCATAAAAGGGGTTCTATTGCTTTAAAATAAGTTTGAAAATACTAATTTGGAAAACTGCTTCAAAGCATATTTCATTTGGTTATGCTAACATAGTTTAAGAAGCATCTCTGTCGAAAAAGATTATCACACTCAGTCAATTATGTACACAACTGAAAGTTTACCTAAGACTATTGCCTTCATTAATTACAAGTGATGTAATTCTAAGCTTTTGATGGACGGTTGTAAGGGTAGAGGGCTTTAAATGGAATAATAAAATGTTATCATTAGCTCAATAGTATGACCAAAGAACATTATTAAATTACAGACCGACAAGTAAAGGTGGAGAGAGTCCTTTTATAAATGGAATTAACTATTTTAACATATCTCCTTTTTATCTTATGTACTATTCTAAATAAAAATAAATTACCACTTCTGAAAGTAAGACACACTTATCTCTTGCTAATTTTAATTCTAATTGTATTTATTATATAAACCAAATAAAAAATATATTTTAGTAGTACCTAGTCTTAAAAAAACCACTTTAATAAGCACCTCAGAACTGGAAAGTCATGAAAAACATAATTATTTAGGAAAGTGAATGCCAAGATATATTATCTCTCTTATCGTCTTAAAAAAGTATGTTAATAAAGTCAAGCATTTTTTAATCCTATCAGGTTTAGAGAGTATCTGAGAATTCTAGTATTGGGCAACTTAAATTTTTAGTGAATAGAAGAAATGGCTTCTGTTGTAAGCCGAGTAGCCATCAAGAATTTGTTTTTACAACCAGCAGAGGGCGCGAGTGCCTGCAGCATGGTGGGTGTACCTGTAATCTAACCTTTAGCAATAACTTCAATTTGGACATTGCAAAGCTAAAAAATGCCTTAAATTTTTTTATAACTTTAAGAAATATATATTTACATTCTATAGCACCTAAATAACATTGGACTCAGATCAAAATTAGAGGTCACTGGCCTATTTTGGGGTAAGATTAAATTAACAGGATTTTATTAATATTTCTGAATCAGGAATTGAGCGGATGACACTTGTAACAAGGAATAAGAGCATTGCTAGTTCATACACTAAAAATTCATTTAGCACCATATATTTAGCACCAGAATAGATAATGATAGTTCACACTTAATAAAAATTTTAATTGCAAAGAAACCTCAAAATTGTAGCAAGGATATGGTGGTTGTAATTGATTTTCAGCACCATTAATCAGTGAATTGTTAAACTTTCTAAGTTTTTGATTGACCTCTCATAAGTCATAGTTATACTATAACGTAATTTTTAAAAATATTTTGCATGTGTTTATGTCTTCTTCCACACATATGATGAAAATACAAAAAAAAACATACAGAAGCAAGGATAATGTTAGACTTTGATAGAAATCTACGTTTACTCTCCCTAAACACTTCAGTAGGTAAAGATTTCCATCCATGTCAAGATTTGCATCCTAAAATAGTGCAGAACCTAGGGAATGTTGTTAGACAAGTTGTTATTCTAAGGAGAACACAGACCGCATTATTTTTCCTTCACAGACACATTCAAATTATGTTTAGCCTATGCATTCATTTAATAAGTCGGGTATGAACACAAAACACTTAAACGGGCCTATATGTTTATAAGATTTGCTTATGGAGATGTTCCAAGTTGATTTCACACAAGCATGTATTAATGAGAAAATATATATTGTTTCAATGCAAATATTCTGAGTAAATCGCATTGGTTGCATTTGCCCAGTGTTTGGTCAACTCTGTGCTGAAGGTGCACGGAGCTTCCAAATGAAGGTTTCCACGAAAGTTGCAAATGAACATTAAAAGCATTGCCCAATGGAGTTGGTGGGGAAGATCTGACGGACCACAGAACTGATGGTGCTCAGACTACTGCGCAGAAGCAAAAATGACAATAACTCTTTCTGCCACATTTTCAAAGCAAGCGTAGCTATCATAACCAGGAACATGAAGACTGTGCCTACACAACTCAAATACAATTCTATAAAGAAATCCATCAGTTTAACAGCTAAAATTGTCATTTTTCCCATCTTTTGATGACATGAAAGCCAAAAAGCCTATTTTGTGACAGCATTTTTTCACTTTTCTACTCAATATAAGGTGATATGAAAGATCTATACCATAGAGAGGATCAATGCTGTAGAATATGTCTGCCAATTACTATTTCTTTTGTAATGATAACCACAATATTTAGAGCTGCTCTTATGAAATAGCTTATACTCAGACTCTTTCTGCCTCTGGGAATTACAGTGAGAAATAACTATCCTAGCACCATTGTTGCATGCTGTGAAAAATATGACATGCTGTGTTGATACTAGCAAACTTTCGTTTGCTTTAGCCTGGAAAATAAAACATTTCACATGGCCGTTTTATATTACTAACTTTAAAAAGTACAAAGAGAATAACAAATATACCCGTCATATTTTCAGCTGAGTTGTTAACTTATGAACAAACTTATAGTTCCAGCTGTGGTTTGGAAAGGACTCTTGTGTAAGTCATAAGTGTGCAGACCCTAGTCTTAATCTGATATGTTTGATGGTTTATCTGGATTTTTGATTTATTCAAAGCTTTGTATTTAAGACATTTTTGTCTAATAAAACATGGAAAGGTGGGATTCCTCTAAATCATTGCAATTCTAGACTTTTTAGTTAATTCCAAAAATCCATTCATAGAAACAATTGTTACATTATTGCCATTATATAAGAAGCTAGGATAAATACAAAGAATCAGATAGAATTTCTGCCAAAGAGGAGCTCATGAAAATTTAATTTTACCTCAAATTAACGTTTCACAACATTAATGATAATTTTAATATTTATAAACTCTATTAATATGGTAATTCTACCTTCATAAGATCCTCTGTGAAATATGTAGCAAATATCACTATTCTTTTTCGGAACTGGGAAACCAAGCCGCACAAGTAAACCAGCAACAGGGTTGGAACTGAGAATAGTCAAGTACGGTTTAACATAAAGTAATATAGTAACATAATAAAGTAATAAAGTAACATAAAGTAATTTTGCTCCTTTTGTAGAACTACTCTAGCAAAATCAAGGATGGAGATACTTTCTAGATCAATCAAGCAAACATCTCACTAACGAGCTTTCTCTCCAATTGCCTATTGTATGTTTGATAAAAGTTGTATTTTTGCCTGAATCACATAATTATTTCTGCTCTCCATTTTGTCTCCAAAATATGTATTTTTAATAAAGTCAATATGTGTGCCCATAAAAGCAGAGTAGTCAGATATCAAAACATGCAGTCATTGTATTCCATTTGTAAAAGGAATCAGGTCAATTGTTTGTCATCATGTAAAGCTAAACTCCAGATGGTGGATTTTTCCCACATCGAATGCATTTGATTATGTGTCATCTTTCAACATCTCCACCCTAAGACACTGCAAATGTGTAAGAAATTTTAAACAAGTAGCTTCCTTCTGTTATTTGCACTCTGGAACTAACCATGTTTACCTAGTCTGTAATTCTATGGAAGTATTACATAACCTGAATCTCACACACACACAGACACACACGCGCAGACACACACACTTGAAATGTAAGTGTCTTCACTCAGGTGTTGAATTCTCCTCTCTTGGGCCTCATCAGCTAGTCTGGGGCCATTTTTAATTCTCCCCTGCCTCTTGTAGTGCTGAGCTCTGTAGGTAAGTTTTCATGCTAGTCAGAAGCCTTACGTATTTCACAGTGTGGCTTATCATGCATTCCACCGACAGGTGAACATCATTGTTGCATTCACATCCTCAAAACTACGTAAAAATCAATTTGTTAAAAAATAGTAATTTTACAGCAAAATCATTAGGCTGCATTATTTCCTGGATATTTTTATGAGCTTCTTGAAGGCAGGAATCATATCTCATTATCTTTGCGTTATTGGAACATAACTAGCAGAGTGCCTTGCACGTAGTAAGCACTCAACAAATGATTACTGATTCAACAGAAGAGATCAAGCAAAAGGCAGGATTTGAAACTTACATAAGTTGAGCATATCCTTTAGTGAACTCAAATAAGATAAAATATCGCCAGAATGAAATCCAAGCTTGCTCAATCGAGTTATTATATCCGGCTATCACTAAGGGTTATTTTGCAAACTATCAATTCATGGGTATTATAGGTGCTAAGATGTCCTACCACCTCACATATATTTTAAAATAGGATTTTTAAAATTTTCCTCAAGTTAACTACTGGACCATATTATTATCTATGTGTTATGTCATCGATTATATGTTTGTGTATGTGTGTATACATATATAGCATATGTATACACACATACATTACAGGCCAAATATTTATTTTATTCTTTAGGAGCATAACACAATTCCTTTGGAAAGCAAGTTTTGGAACTGGATGCATCAACTATGTCAATACTACATATACAATACTTTAACTTTAGGCTTAGAAGTCAGAAGATAGAAGTGAATGTTTTGATTACCTCAAAAGATTAAACAAACATACTAGACAAACACTAATTTAGACAATGAATAATAAAAGGAAAACAGGATTATCATAAAATATGTATAGTATGTGCAAAACTCAATATATATATATGCCTATGATTCTCAGAAGTCATTCTATTTCCTGGAGGAAAAGATAAGCTTATTTAAACCAGTATAGGTAGTTTGACGTTACTCCTGGAAAACAAAGGTTGTCAGTACAAGATCCCCCGTAACTTGGAGGACAAGCTGAGCATGGTACCCCGACTTTATATGGTGCTTCTCCAATCCAATTGCCCCTGGAAAGAAAGAAAATAGAAGAAGATACCATTAGTCCTAGTTGCCCATTAAAAAAATCTGCTTGTCCCTTAAGCACATGATCACACGTATTGACACATATGATCTTTTTGAGAAGTTTGTCATTTTAGAAAGGCACTGGAAGTTACATCCATTTCTTATTCTTACAGTAAATTATTCCATATATCTTGCTTTCTAAATATTTTATCTCTAAGTTAATCTTATCTTAAATTACAGATAAAAAGTGAGGCCCTACAAGGAATGGGGACACAATTAGTCATCTGACACCAGGCTTGACGCTCATTCCGTCACACATCTGTCTCCTTCCTAGGGCTGCCTTCTAGAGCACATAATCAGGCCTTGTTCCCCCTTTACAAACTCATGCTAATGCTATTCTAAGGATAGTAAAAAAATACATATACGTATCATATTTTCTGGGAGGCATAGAAATGATGGAGCAAGAAGTTGTCATAAGCACAAAAAAATAGGTTATAAATGTTCACAAGCTCTGTTTCTAAAGCTGTAAAATATTTTGGATTCTCAATATATATAAAATGAGGTATGGAAAACTTCTTTCTCATGGTAAGGGAATAAGGGCTCACAGAAGCAATTAAACATTCCAAAACCTTTTTCCCATACATAAATTTATAGCTATTTTTTATGAATGCTTCATTTTTTGATGACGCTGAACGTGTTTAACTGAATTACTTTGTGTTGTCAATATTTTTCTTTATCTGTACTGAGGGCCATGAATATAATCATACACCAAATTCACCATCTGGGATAGTTAAAAAGAACCACAATGCCCTGTTATTTAGCTCCTTTAATTATGAAGGAGCAGGTAATAAATGTATTTTCAGCAGCACGGTGATTAGTAACTAGAATGCTAAGAAATAGCAATATAGCCAGCAATGTGAAGAAAACTGAATGGAGGGGAGAAAATTCAGCTGTCAAGAGTAAAGTTAGGGTTGAAGATAAGACAACAGTAGGGAAGAGGCTAGAATTCAACACAGGTGGTTCTCATCTTCTTTAAGACTTAAATAAGACCAAGCAGCGACTCACGAAGTGTATCAAGAGGACAGAGAAATATCTACTTAGACCTGTCAGTTAAAATTTCAGACTTTTATCTATAAAATATCTACAAAGGAAAATTTATCTATAAAAGTGGAAAATATGCTGATTAACTATTCATATTACAAAACGAGATGAGGTTCCAAGATGGCCCTCCTCTCTTTGGTTTCTTCTACAGTCTGCCCTCCAGATAAGCTTCCTCAAGCATAATTGTGATAATGTCACCTAGTTGCCCAGAAACGTTCAGAGAGGCCCATTCTCCTATGAGTGTAGATCATGTTTTTACCCTAATCTCTCCCATTCTATGTTTACAATCCTATTTGCCTCTATATCTTTACCCGAAGCTATGACAGTATATGAACCCAGCCTATGCTATTTTAACTTCATATTTTTCTATTTATTTAACATAACTTTTTGAAATTATACAGCACGTATTTTTGGTAACATAAACTTAGAAATACAGTGTTATTATATGTAAAAAATATGACATACTATATTATAAACTTCTACATAAATCAAAAATTTTTACTGAATAATTATATTCAATAGTCAATCAACCCATCAATAAACTTATATTATTAATTCTTTTATTTTTTGTCCTATTCTACTTGATTAAATTCTTCTCCCTTTTCCCCCCTCTCTTTCTCTCTTTTTCCTTTCTTTTCCCCTGAAAAACAGGCTTGTGATAATTTCATATTGGAATTGGAAGAATTACATTCCATTATCAGTCAGGATTTTAAAACTTTCTTCATTGCCTTAGTTTCAAAATAATGGTTCTTTATTAGAACAAATATAGCACCTTAACACAATATCTTAATCTCTTGGACCTATAAAACAATGAGATATCTCATCAATAATATTAGAAAATTCTAATCATTCACCAAAACCAGAAAAGTTCAACGAATGAAATAAAAACCTCTATCACCATTTGGGTACTATTTGGCCTATTTATGTCAGGAAGAAGGGTAAAAGCTTAAGAGAAAAATAGAAGGTGTGAAAATATCAAACAAATGCACAGTGTTACTGCTTTCATAAAGCAGACACATTCTACTTTCCAAATCTTACTATTCCAATAATTGTGAAGAAGGGACCATCAGGAAAATCACTATTTTTCTAACTTTGCAAAAACACTGCCACTGGCATCCTACCATATAAATGAGTAATGCAGTTATTTGTGAAGCCTTTTCTCATTCCCTCCCCACACTGGCAAAGCTGGAGAAAATCTCTGAGACTTACTTTGGAAGACACCAAGAATATCATAAATCCTTTGAACATTTTGGTATTTACTCCAAAATGGGAACAGACTCGTGTATAAATACTGGAACATTTTATCATCTCAAGAGTTACTGTTATCAACAAGGCATTTTATCAAATGTTAACAAATACTTATTTATCCTCATAAAGAATGCTCATAAACATGACCATATTTTATAATCTTTGATCGATTTTCACAATGCATTTTTATTCATGCCATAGAATAAAGTTACTGAATAATTTTTAATACTGAAATTTAAATCATGGCAAAGATTTAATTTAAAAAGAAGTCATAGCACTTACATTTTCCCTTCTGATAATGAATACCTCCCAGCCATGGTGGAATTAGGAAGCTATATTTTTAATTTTACTCTTAAAAAGAAGGAAGAAGGGCTTGTTTTGCTTTCCTAGTGAAAAAGTTAAGCCAACATTCTAGTACTGATAGATGAGCCTATTGTGATGCTGATAAATTCATTAGTAGATTCTTTCTGCTGCCTTTTACATAGCTATCAAAAGCCTGGCAATACAGTGTTTATTTTACAGTCACCATGACTAAAGAAAGATGGTGAGGAGAATGTAGTGAATTGCAGTATCTCAAATTGTTCTGTCTACAACTTTAGCCTAGAAGCCCCATCCTTGTGAAAGGAAATCTTCAGCGCATCATTTTTCAGTATATGGGAGTGATGGAAGAGCTCAGGATTAGAGGCCTTTGTAGTTAAGGCTTACTCACATTAAAATACCCATCAGACTGGAAAAATTGAACACGACTAAAGGCTCCAGGAAGTGGAATCTAACCTGGTACTTACTTTGGGGCATAGTTGCATACCAAGTAAACTGCACGTCGCCATACAGCTCCCCAAACATTCATGTTTTGGCAAGTATGAATTGCACATCCTATCCGATTGGAGGTGGCCCAAACCATCTGCAAAAATAAAGCCATATAACATTATTGAAGTCAGAGCTAAGAAAACGCACGTTCACCAAAATAGTAAGAGCATTTTTTAAAAAATTAACAAGACAATTGAAATAACCTGCGTATAATGTGTGCACATGGGGCCAAAACATCTCATAGGACACCTGGGGTTGCAATCCTGGGGATACGGAAAAGCATAATCTTTCACTTCATCATACCATGGCTTGACCAACTGGAGAATTGAGCGATATCTAGAAATAAAAAAAAGAAATGAGAATTTAGAGTATAGCAGTGATAATATACAGTGAATTTATGTTAAATTGTAGGTTAATTCTTCTTTTTGCAGATTATGTATGATGAATCAAGAGCATACCCGCCCCTCACGATTACCATCGCCACATTCTAGAAGCCTCTATTCCTCCAAGTAGTGCCATGCATGAAAATGCCCAGGACTGGAGCAAGTGAGTCAATACTTTTTAAAGTATGTGTCTGATCATTTCAAAAAGAGAAATGCAAATGTTTTGCAAGTCATTATCGTTATCTTGTTTTATCTGTCAAAACTTTCTTTCATCTAAATCTTACACACAATTAAGAATTAGATTCACAAAAGTAGTTGCAATACTAGAACTCTGTGTTTTTTTCCTTCAACTTGAATCTCTTTCATTTTAATAATAGTGCCCCTGGTTTTCCTCCCCCGTGTGGAAGAGAATGGGTCTTTGGAGCGGATAATGACATTCCACAGGGGTAGAAAAATAATCCTATCACTAGGAACAGCTTTTCCCATAGTTCCCATAGTTGCAACATATATGTATGTGGGGTGTGTGTGTCTGTATGTGGGTGTATACAGATATATGTAAATATATATAATTTGTATAATACATACACATACATATATAGGTATACGCAACTGTGGGAAAGTTGCCATACACATAAGAAGAGCTCCTGGCACAGTCAAGGGAGTTTTCTTGAGGTGGAAGAGACAGAGTACAGGATATAACACGTGCCTGATGCTTTCAAAGACTCTGTGGGGTAAGTGAAAAATACAGGCTAAGGAAGGATGTTCCATGGGTGAAAGGGGAGACTGGTCTTATTAAACCCCTTTAAAAATTAAGTAATCCTTGAAGACATCTAAAACAGTCATAAGCCAAGCATCGGTGGTGACACATAGGGAGCACTCAATAAAAATTGGCTGATATTACTTGAGATTGCTGTCACTCCCCCTTGGAGTCCATAAGGAATAAAGTTGGGTGGATAAACAGTATCCATGAAACTTCCTACCTTCCAGTTCGTACAGACAGATTTTGGCCCAAAAATCTCAGTAAGTAAGAAGGTCCATGGTCCCAAATGCAAGTGGCCGCCCAAGCTTCTGCAGATTTTGCAAGATTTTCATCCCAAACCTGTAAAGGGGAAAAAGCCTTCAGCTTTACCAGGTTTGCTAGTAAGAAACAAAAAGTAAGAGGAAAGAAATGGTGCTGCTATTTCCTGAAATTCTTTCGATTCTGGTTCCTGAGACTATTTTAAGTGAAAGAAAGCAAATTCAGACCATTGACATTCCAAGTTCTATAATGCAATATGATTATACCACAAAAAACTTTATTGTTTTTATAGTGCCATCTAGATCCAAAGTCCAGGCATCATTTTTAGTAATGGATAGGTTAACAAAAATACTCTATTTAGAGGTAACCTGGGGACACCTCACATTGATCACTGAAATTTGAATCCACCAAAGTCCACTGATTTCTCTAGAGGACATCTTCACAGCAACAAGGAGCCATGATATTAACATATCTTAAAAATCATTATGATAGAATTCATTCAAGCTGATTTAACAAAATTAATAATGTCTAATATTATATTGCACCTTTCTTGTGTGTGTGAGGAAGATTTGCCCTGAGATAACATCTGTGTCAATCCCCCCTGTACTTTGTATGTGGGATGCCTCCACAGTATAGCCAATGAGTGAAGCAGGTCCACTCCCAGGATCTGAACCCACAAATCCTGGCTGCCGAAGCAGAGTGCGCAAAACTTTAACCACTCGGCCACAGAGCTGGCTCCTGTTATATTGCAACTTTTAAAGGTCAAACCATGTTATTGTACAATAAATCCCAGGGAGCCTTCATAATTTATATCATTAGAATCTTTGGTAGTAATAATAATATGAGAATTACATTTTAGTTGGTATGGACTGGAAACAAAATTACTCTTTACAACCTTCTTTATCTTTATGATTAAAAAAACTTGACTATGCTACCTAGGGCTGCTACAAAATACAGTACATCGAGTTTCAATTAAATAAATTAAGAAAAATAGTAATTGTTCTTGAAAAAGGAAGTTGTTGAAATTAATAATGGTGTTATCCACATATAACATCAACAACTTTTTTCGAAAAAATTGTGGGATAACAATTGAATGATTTAATGTAGATTTATATTTTTATTGATTTGATATACATTTATATTAGTTACCATATGGATTGACATTCACATCTCCAAAGCTGCATGGGGAAATGAAGATGAGCATTTGTGGACCTGCCAATAATAAATCAATTCTAAAATGGTTCTATTTTCTAGCAAGTTACAAAGTACAAAAACACAAAATATAGAATATATATAATTTTGGCATGTAAGTATAGAAAAAATGCTTTCAAAATTTCTCCCTAGTGATAGTATAATTTAGTGAAGTATTTATCTGTTGTGATTTTCATTGAGTTTTATAGTTCAATATCACGACATTATGTCCTAAATTATTTAAATATTTATCTGTCATGCTATCTGAAAAAATTTTATTCAAATTGCGGCTAGATACTGATTAGTAGTATGTTTCAAAAGGTAAGCCTTTATATGAAGAAGGATGTGACAGTTTTGTAATTACTCAAATTTATGTGGAGCCCTGTAAGAAGGTGTATAGAAGTTCTTATACTGATCTTTTCATAGTCTCCCTCATTTTATCATTCTTTTGGTGACTTTCTCTTCCACCAGGCTGTGTGGAACCAAGCAAGACTCGCCTACACCAGGATTAATAGCCATGAGTTCACTGTAAGTCATCAGCTTTGAAGCAAACGCGTGGGACTGCTTGACCACAACACTGAAAAGGCTTAATTTTCCCCAAGGATAATGGGATATATAGATTTATGACAATGTATTTACCTGGAAGGAAACTAGTTTAATGATTTTGAAATAAAATGGGAAATAAACAAAATAAGAGATGAACTCTTCAAGAGACACTTGCACCCTAGAAGGCTATGGCAGCCACCCTCAAAAGAGATTTGTTAGTTACTCAGAAATGTTTTAAATTAGAAAAACAAAGTCATCTTACAAAAACTGGTCTAGAATTACATTAAAATAAACTCACTCACAAAGTTTATATAAAATCATAATTATTTAGAAAGAATTGGGAGTAATGCTATGGTGACAATGGCTGCAAATCCTTTGTCCGTGTAAAAAGACAGATTACTCAAGGAGCTATAGCAAGACACACTTTCCTTAGCCATCCATAATATAATCTGCCCATTTTGTGGATTAAATTAAATGTGGCAAAACATTACATAATACCGTTTTAATAAATAAGTAATCAGTGCTAAATACAGTACCAAAAATGGAAAACACTCATGCTATATTTTTGGAGCTCCTATCTATTTCTTTATGTATTTTTTTCTTTGAGTTGATATCATGCTTTTTTACCATTATGAAAAAGAGATGTTGTACTACTTTTTTCATAGTTAATTGCTTAGCTCAGTAAAATAATCATTTGACACAAATTTTATAAATTACTGCTTCAAACTTCTTCGTTTTCTGTAAAAATCAGGACAAAGTATATCAGTGACACAAAATCAATTTATAATGAAAATCATAGCATCCTGGGACTGAAGTTCACTTTTAAAAGCATTTTTTGGGCTGATAATGGATTTATCTAGTATTTACTCTTCTGATGTTTTTAAATGAAATACAGATTTATGAAATATGGGTTACAGTTCACCGAAATGTAAACCAGCACAATTAACTCACAAAGGAATTCCAGATGGGCTAGCATCAACAAATTATGTCCCCTGTAGTGTTCTTAAATAATTGTGGTCGCTTGGGAAAAAAACACATCTAAGTATTATTTACATATTGAAGTACAGTGTGAACTCAGATGAATAACTGCTAAAATTCCTTATTATAGTCTTGTCCTAAAAATGTCAGCACAGCATGGCACAAATGGCCATCCCTGGTGGTCTAGTGGTTAAGATTCAGCACTCTCACCACCAGGCCTGGGTTTGTTTCCCAGTCAGGGAACCACATCACCCATTTGTCAATTGTCATACTGTGGCAGCTGCGTGTTGCTGTGATGCTGAAAGCTACCCCACCGGGATTTCAAATACTAGCGGGGTCACCCATGGTGGACAAGTTCACTGGAGCTTCTAGGCTAGACAGACTAGGAAGAAGGACCTGGACACTCACTTCCCCAAAATGTCGCCATGAAGACTCTATGAATAGCAGTGGAGCATGGTCTGACACAGCACCGGAAGGTGAGCCGGAGCTGGGCTGCACAGAGGGTCCCCAGGAGTCAGAATCCACTCCTCTCCATTTACAAATGGCACAAATAACACGGACCTGAAAATCTTGTGCTCTAATCCTACTTCTACTGCTAAGATCATCTGTGACAGAGGACATGTCAATTATTTTCTCTATCTTCCAGTTAACTCATCTGTGATATAAGGAGAATGGATGAGGTCATTTCTGGCATAACTTTCGTCTTCAACTTTTCATGATTTAACATACCTGAGTAGCCCCAGTATCAGAGCCAGGAAGATCTATGTTATATTGACCTGTGACTTGCTCAGTTCTAGTCCTTTCCATAACACAGAGACAGGAAAACTAGATTCTTTTAGAAATATTTAAGGCAGTTAAGAATTTAGAAAATAATTTAGCATATATAGTCTATCTTTATACTCACTCATATATTTAAAAGCTAAATATTGTGTACGTCAAAAAGATAACCAAAAAATTCATGCCTGAAAAATATCTTACATGAGCATTCTTTGTTCCCGTGATAAGGGATTTTGACAGGAAGACAATATACTTAGCCTTCCTGATGCCTCCATGTTTAAGTGTTTCTATGCACAAATATCACAATTAAAATTTTGGAGAAGAGAGCTGTGGAGAAGGAGGAATAACCGCTTTCTTTCTCTCTTTACGTTTGCTTTTAGGGAACTGATGGGAGGGATTTGTGCCCGTCTCTACGTCCCAGAAGGAAGATGCTGGAGAGTCTGACAGACAGGCACAGAACAGGTCCTGCACAGAGAGCGAGTCATTTTGCCTCCCTAGGGGACACGTGACCGACTGTCCTTTTGATGCTTACTGCATGGAAAGTCAGAAGTTTTCTGTACTCTTTCTTGCCTCTTTGTCCCCAGGAAGGACTGACATCTATTCTCCAGAGAGAGGAAGCTACAGCTCGAGTAGGAAGCTCTGAAATTTGGGAATGACGTCAATCCTATCTACTGGTAAAGGTGAGATCTCATATGCTGTTTAGGCCTTTCTCCATTGGTTACAACTCACAGAAGAAGATAAGTAAATTATTTTCCCCCTTAAGCTGCAGTGGTATTTAAATTTTTGAATATGATGAGAAGTCTTTGAGGTTTGAAAATAGCAAGGAATGATAACTTCATTTAATAACAGTAGGAAATTTCAACAAAAAATTGAAGGCTGTAGGGAATGGCTCAATGTGACCCATTCTTTCCTATCCAGAAGTTCTAAATTGCAATGAATATTGCAGTATAATCATGTAAAAGAATTTTAACTACTTATAGAAGTTCAGGGAATAAAGATGTAAATTGCCTAAGCATTTAACTTAATATATAAATTTATGAATGCTTGATGGGCAGTCTATCTGCTGAATTTCTCTGAGGATCAGTGGCATTTATTTGAAATGATTTTAATATTATACCCTACAAAGATAGCAACAGAAAAAAGAAGTGCATACATGTGTGCTATTATTTAACATTCTGTGGAATGCCTAGTAAATATGCAACAGATTATTATCTTTTTTTGGAAAAACTAAGCACCTGATGCCTACTTAGCTTTTATTCAACCAGCTTCAACATTCTGTATTTCTAGCTCTTGTCCCTTTAAATAGATAAGATACTTTCACAGATAATTTAGTTATAAACACTTAAAATCTCTCCTTACCTCCTAAAACTGAGGCAAAAATTAAGAATATCGTGCATGGGTACACAAAAACATTTACAGGACCCACCAGAAGTTAAATATTACGATTAAATTAGATAATTCACAAAATAAAGCTGGCTTAAAATAGCATTGGAGTGTACATATGCCTGTACATGCGCCCTACTGTCCCAAATGGTTCTCCTCCATTCTTTGTTGTTACGAGCCATTTAGTGGGTCAGCTCGTAAATTGA